GTGGTGTTGCTGCGGTTTTGTTGTTGGTTTTTTTTTTTCCCTCTCCCCCATTGTGCCGTCTGCATTGGTTTCTCTCGTCACCTGCCACGGTTAACTTTCCTGTGACTCGGTTTAACTCTTGAGATCCACATGGATGTTGCTAAGAGCACTTTTCTTGCCTTTGCTGTCCCTCGCTGGGATCGGATTTCAGACTAACTGGACTCTGTGTGCCTGTATGTGTGTTCCGAGTGTCCTGAAATTTTGCTTTCCTTTACAAGAGCTATGCATTAATGGTAACCAAGGTAAGACTCGCTGTTCTTGATTGCTCATGTGCATGTCTAAATCAGATGTTTCTTTAAAGATGAAGTATGTATTTTCTTTTAAACGGTGGAGTCATATGTAGTCCTTCCATCGATCAGTACTTGTGAAACAGCAACGCAGAACTTGCAGAAAAATAGACCTGTTTAGCAGGAGATCTAGCCTGGCTTTCTAAATGGATCTGCTTTTTTTTCTGTTGCAGCTTCTGTCATACTTAAAAGAATAATTCGTATCTTATTTTGTTTTCCCTTCTGACAGACCTGTGAATGACCATAGGCTTGGCTTGACCTTGATTTTGATGGCTTTGTTGGAAGATCTAATGATGTGATTGCATTTCATGAAGTGATTGCTCTCCATCCTCTATGGCTTAGGGTATAACCCACTTCTGCCACGCTGTCCCTCATGGACAACTCAGATTTTTTTTAAACAAACCTTTTGGCTATTTTTCTTTTCTCACTTCCCCTTTCCTCCTTGTTTCTCTTTAATATTGGGAGCCTTATTCCACACTTTGATGTGATTGATAGTCCTGCTGCTTTGTGCTGCTGATTTCTGTTTTAAAGTACAATGGCTCTAAGTGGCAACTGCAGGACTTACCTTCCTCCTCGAGAGCAGGGGACTGGGCTGCACTCCTTCCCGGAGGTAGTGGAGCTAAACGTGGGCGGCCAGGTTTACTTCACTCGCCATTCCACCTTGGTTGGCACCCCTCACTCCCTGCTGTGGAAAATGTTCACCCCAAAGAGAGACACAGCCAACGATCTGGCCAAGGACTCCAAGGGAAGATTCTTCATCGACAGAGATGGTTTCCTTTTCCGCTATATTCTGGACTATCTCAGGGACAAGCAAGTGGTTCTGCCCGACCATTTCCCAGAGAAGGGAAGGCTCAAGAGGGAAGCTGAGTACTTCCAGCTCCCAGACTTGGTCAAAATCCTGACTCCCGATGACAACAAGCAAAGCCCCGACGATTATTGCCACAGTGACTATGAAGAGGTCTCCCAAGGCAGTGACACAAGAATATGCCCACCCTCATCGCTCTTACCGCCTGATCGGAAGTGGGGATTCATTACCATCGGGTACCGGGGGTCATGCACTGTTGGCAGGGAGAGCCAAGCAGATGCCAAATTCAGGAGGGTCCCAAGGATTTTGGTTTGTGGAAGGATTGCTCTGGTCAAAGAGGTCTTTGGAGAAAGTTTGAATGAAAGCAGAGACCCAGACAGGGCTCCAGAAAGGTACACCTCCAGGTTTTATCTCAAGTTCAAGCACCTGGAGCGGGCTTTTGACATGTTGTCCGAGTGTGGATTCCACATGGTGGCCTGTAACTCCTCGGTGACGGCTTCGTTTGTCAACCAGTATACAGACGACAAGGTCTGGTCCAGCTACACTGAATATGTCTTCTACCGTAAGTACAAGACATTTCTGAAGGAAATGGGACTCCCTGTTTTAAGCTGCTCTCTTCCTTTGACCGGACAATTCTCAAAGCACAAAGAGTGCAAATTGCCTTGTGTCTGTCGTGGACTGAGGCTTTATTTAGATGTGGGGGGATACGCTTCAATTTAAGCTTTCAAAATGTAAAGCCAGGCTGAACTCAACGGCTTGGCCTTGGCTAGGTGGCAGCACAGACTGCCAGAAGCGCCCCATCCCCGTGGCTGGAGGGTGCTGCTGTGGCTGGCGGTGTAAGCCAGCCATCTGCCCGCCCCATGCTCCCGAGGACGTGCGGGCTGCAGTACAGCCTCGCAAACACGCTGCAGCTTTAATGACAGAAAATCTTCAAATGGGATTCAATTTGCAAAGGTAATAGCTGCTTGATAATAGTCAAGCACAGTCAGCCAAGCCATCTGTCAACAAACCTGACACACTTACACAGAGGGAAGGGAAAACAAAATCCCGTCCCCCTGGCTACTTTTCAACAGGGGGCCTTCTCGGAGCCAGCCGATGCACTCGGAAATGAGGGCTCGGAGCAGCGAGAGGCAAGTGGCTGCGCCTTGTTATGCAACGTGCCTCTGCAAACCACACTCTCCTCGTAATGAGGAGTATCTGCCCTGCTTACCGCATCACATCCGAGACCGTACTGTTGTGGTAATTTCAGCTGATAGCTCTAGCAGGCTCATTAACCTTCTAAGTTGATGTGCAGGTAGAGGCAGTGTTACCCATGGTAACACGAGGGTAATTTTGATTCTATAATTCTGTATCAGAAAGTCATTCCACAACTGCTGCACTTAAATATTTAAGAGGTTCGTGAGGCTGTTTTCCTCCATTTTCATTTCAAGAGGGCGAAGGATGGAACATTTCCCCAGTCCATTTGTAGAAACAGGCTTCAGCCAGCTGCTGCTCTGGGCAGCGGGGTTCAGAGCAGGATCATGCTTTGCCAGCAGACCTGCTGCGCTGTGTGTGGTGCTTACTGTTTGCCGGCTCAGTGGTGTGGAGAGCTGACAAAAGTTTTAGATGAAAGATGTCTCGGGAAGTGAATAGTTTGTGTGTAATACTGGATTCAGCGCCATCTACTCTTGTGTCTGGGCTCAACAGGCAGCCCTAATCTGCTTATGTAATGATGCTTAAGTTAGCATCTTGAAAAGCCATCTGTATTTTTGACATGCATGGATTTACTTAAAATTAGTTTTCTAGCTGGATTTCATAGCAAAATCGTTCTAAGGTTATGGGTTCGCTTATATTCCGACAGGAATGGATGATTTCTATTATTAGGCTGCTTCTGTTTGGGATAACGGTGTCTTGTACAAGTTACAGGGGGAGAATTAGTGCAGTTAAAAGAATGGATCAGAATAAATTGTGTTTGTACTTATAAAAAATATCTAAGTTCCCTATAGGCACAGGGGTTTGCTAATTGAAGAGAGGATGAACGTGAGTTTTGCATGAATTAGCAAACACAGACTCCTGATTTTTACATTACTCAAATTTTTACTTTCAAGGATTGCTCATTGCTTCCACAGCACTACAGCTAGGGTAAGGTATTGAGATAAAAGGTACCTTAGAAATTTTGGAGAGTGAAAGTCTATAGTAGGTGTCACCAAACCTTCTCTCACCAGCGCAGGGAGAGCCCAATCCAATTACAGTTCCTGGAAAGACTCTTACCCAGTTCAACAGCCTTTGCATTTGGCTCGTTTCAGTTTTGTGGATTTTTGACACTGATACAGTTTCAGAAGTGGATTTTGCAAAGGGTCCTTCCCGAGGTAACAGCTCAAGCAATGACCGTGAGGCTAAACCACTCCCTTTCATCTCAGTCTGAATTGGTCTGTTACGCTCTGTGCCATCTGCTGAGGTTCTCCGGCCACGGGCTTGGGGTCTGGCTGTAGGCAGTCACCCGGAGAGCAGGCACGATATCCACAGAATTCACCTGGGGCAAAAGAACCCTCTTCCCAAATTTCCCAAAGTCATTGCGTTTGAAACTTTGAGGACCAATAAAATTGACATCTGGCTTTCCGGTGGAACCTCACAACTTCTCTGCAGCTGCTTTGCCATGATTTTTTAATTAGAAGCTGCCGACTGTGTCTATATAAGCATTAATTCATCAAGCTGTTTGGATCAGGTTAATGGGCCTGAACATGGGAGGTGTCTAATGCCACTGGTTAGGCAGATGTAGGGGTGGTCTTTGCAGAGCCACTTAGTAGCTCTTGTGAAACGCACAGCTGGAGGGACTCTTCAGAGCTGGGAAAGGAGGATCATTTCCAAAGGAGGAAGAATAGAGGGAGGAATAGGTTTTTGATACACCAAATACATTGTATGCTCCAAATACTACTGGGAAGGTAAATGCCTGCGGTTGGCACGAAGATAAAGGACATTCTTCATGTGCAGATCCTTTTGAAAGTAGATCAGATGGCCCGAAGGGGTGTAAGCTGTGCAGGCACTCACACGGGTACAGTGTGTGCCGTTAGCAGAACTGCCCGGTGAACAGTGTGTGACGTTTTCTCCCCTTGCTCAAATCTAGGTGCTATTAAGGCTAATGGGAGATTCATGTTCTCTGTGGAGGATGCTTTCCTGAACTGCAGGGCACGCAGAAAGCATCCAGTACAGCAAACCTGCAGCTGTTCTGCTGAGGGGGTGGTGAGATGGGCTGCAAAGCCGGCACTCGGGATGACAGTGCAATCCTCGGAGCGCAGCTGGGCTCCGCTCCAGTCTCAAACAGGCCGATGCGAAGGAGGGTTTGGAGACAGGCTGTGTGGGTACATCAGAGCCACGATTAAACAGCTCTTTGAAACGCAGCTCTTGTGTGGTGGGTAGGCAGGAGTCACCGCCTGGCTGCTTCTCGCAGGTGGGGTATGGGTTGAGGAAAGGAGGTGAGGTTCTGCTCAGGCATTTTCTTTCCCTCCAGTTTCTCTTATGTCAAAGACGTTTACTTAAATTACTTAAATGCTGGCTAAGGCTGGATTTCTAACTTGAACCATTTTGTGGTCCGTCCCATCCCCCTCTCCCCGCCTGTTGTTTTGATGATCTTGAAGTAAAACCTCATCTCCAAACACTCATTTTTGAAGAGGGTGATAGCCTGTGCTTGGATCTTAATTTTAAATGTTTTCAACCTTTCTGATGGGATGAGTCAGAAATGTGCACTTGAACATCCGGTAAATGTTGTGGCGGGGGTGAGGGGTGTTAAAGCATATGGGCTGGCTCAGCCTTTTGTAGCCTGGCCCCATTCCTGACTCTGCAGCAGCAGCCCCACGCTCTTTGTCACCACCTCCTGGACCCTACACACCAGCCCTTGCTGCCCGGTTCCAGCCTTGCAGTGTTGCCAGGTCTGGGGGGGACGGTCCTGCAGGTGGATGTTGCAAGTGCCAGCAGAGCAAACAACAGGTTGGAAGCAGAGGAGTTTTTAGCTTCAGACAGCAGATCAGCAACATGGCAGGCTGTGTGCACGTGTCTGCCAAGCAGCCAGGAACCGAGCGGCATGGCAGTGGGCTGGGGAGAAACTGCGTGGCAGCCCCTGACTGTGTCTTGGTCTTGCCCCCAAAACCCTGGTGCCACGTGCCTTCTCCGTGCACTCGTCAGGGGCTGGGACTGCCATGGGCTCTGGGAACAGTTGGCAGTACAGAGGGGAGGTCTTGGCTCTAGCACATCGCATCAGCCCTCTTGCCTGGGCTCTCGTGGCTCCCTGCGCAGCTGTGGGTGGCACCGGCAAGGGGCACGGTTGGCACCACAACAAGCCAGTTGCCCTCTGCTCAGCTGGAGCAATAAAGTGGAGGGAGAGGAGAGCTACTATGCCAAGAGCAACAAATATAGAAGAAGTACAGATGGAGGAAAAGGGGAGAAAATTCACACACAATCTGGAGAGAAGGAACGAGGGAAAAGATGTGGGTACTGACAACTACACCCAGACATGGTGAGGGAGAATTTGTTAGATACGTCAAGGCTTCAGTTTAACCCAAATGTTTTCCCACAACAAGCAGGTGGAGAGGGGTTGACAAGTGCTCCTTCAAGTTCACTGGCAGAAAAGAATACGGGGATTTAGACAGACGACTGTCCCTGCCCTTCCTAAGGCCATGTTTCAACGTCTGAGCAAGCATGAGGAAATCAGGCCAGTCAGTCTGATTTGTTTAAGCCTTGCCTTGCACTAGCCTCTTCACACCTGCACACGTGGAGCAGCTCAAGCGCCTGCAGATGTGTAGAGGAAACTGTGAGACGTTCCTAGCACTGTCGCTCCGAAAGCCAGAAATTAATGAACAAGGCTCTTGCTCCTGAAGGGACAGGTGTAAAATTTGGCCTTCTCACCTTCCTCTTTCAAGAAGGTGCTGGCTGGGTGTGCTTTTCACTTGCCGGTAGAAGGCTGATGTGCAGAAGTGTTTGTGAAGCAGGTTTCAGATTATCCTGGGATAATCAGGTGAATCCTCTGGGGTGGGGCTGTGCAGGAAGGAAGAGAGATGCCAAGCGATCCCCTCTGATCGCTGTCCATTTGCCATGCATCTCTGGGGTAATCCTGGTGTCCTTTACTCAAGATGAGCCTTGGGATCAATGCAGCCAGCTGCGGCCCGTCACTGTGTGTGTGAGCCGAGCTAAAAGATCCCATGCTGCTACGCATACCACTGACTCATCAATGAATTGTGTGGTAGAAATCTGACTAACAAAACTGAACACTTTTGCACAGTGACACCTACGGCTGTGCTGTCAAGCGGGTTAGATGTGGAAAAGGAATATCATCTATTTTCCCCTCTCTTTAAACTGATACTGTCATCTGTTCTAGTAGTTGGTTCTGTCTGGTTTTAAATCAGTGAAGATCAAAATTACCCAAAAGATAACAAAATAGAGTCTAATCCAATGAATAATGCAAGCTTCCTTTCCTGTTGACAGATGTTTCTTTTCCCAAGTAATTATCATCAGCAAATCTGGGTCCACCTTGCCAAACAAAACTCTCTCGCACAAGGATGATCACCTGCAGGTGGTGGGGCTGTACTTGGC